TAGAAATGATTGAAAAGATGCAAAACTATATTTTCTATTATTTAATTTATAAAATAAATAAAATAAAATAAATAATAAATAAAAAACTTTTGATAAATAAATAAACTAAATAAATAAACCAATTGCATAAATTATTTGACAGTCAAATTTATGATGCACAATGTCAAATGGAAATTATCACTAAAATATTAATATAATTTTTTTTTTTAAAAAAAATTAAAAATTATTTAATTTTATTTTGCAAATGAAAATTTAACAAAAATTATTTGGACAAAAAGAAAGAAAAAATTCATGCAGTTGACATTTGTTCTAATTTCACCCTAATTTTTGCTAATTTTTATATCATTTTACTTTTAAGTTTTGCTAATTTTATAGCATTTTATACTGTAACATTTTTTATAGCTAAAAAAATAAATGAAAATAATTTTTTTTTTCAAATAGAAAAGAATAATATTTAAATAAATAAATTTCTTATCGAATACAAAGGAATAATGTTTAAAAAATTTGTTTGTTGAAATTAACAAAAGATTTTCAAATGTAAGTTTAATAGTATTAAATTTAATTGAATTATAATTTAAAACAAAATTTAAAATAAATTCGAATTACGAATTATAATTTAAAATGAACTGGTGAGCAATATGTTTGAATTAGCTAATTAAAACCAATAATAGTTAAATAAAATATGCTTTTATTAATTAATAATCAAAATGTCATCGTACATTCATAATGTAACGAAATGTTAAAATGTTTTTTTCTTTTTTTGTTACCACTTACTATTTCAATCAGTCATTAGTGAAATTTATTGTATGGAAAGGATTAACAATTTAATTTATTTCATTTTATTTTATAAAAGCAAAAAAAAAAACCAGTTTATAATCCTTTTCATTACGTAAATAATAAAAAGAAAAAGTAAAATTAAAAAAAAAAGGAAAAACTTCCAATTCATTCTATTTTTAAGAAGCAATAAGAATTCAAACGATATATAAATGAAAATTTTGACAAAAATCAATCAAACTTATCTGATAGCAATGAAATTAGCTTTAAATATTATTTTTAATTTTTATTTTTTACTAATAAATTTTAATTTCTACTAAATAATATCGGTGATTTCAAAAATTTGTCAAAACAATCAATCAATCAACATTTCATATTTAATTTACTTTTGATTTTTTTTTTCACTTAACTAATTTCTTTTTTTGATTAAACAAATTTACATTTAAAAAAAAGTAAACAAAAAAATAAATAAATAAATAAACAAAATCAAAAAAAAAAAAAAAAGAAAATTATTTTTAGCAACAGTATTTGAGAGTAAAAATTGAAATCATTTTGAAAATGTGTAAAAGAAGAATGGATGAAATGTACATAACCTAAATATGGTTCAATAATTTCTATTCATCCATTCATCATTTATGCTAAATTTATTCCATCATTGCCTCATTTACTTAAAATATTCATTTAAACGTAGTTTTTATTAATTTTTAAAAAAAGCAAAAAAAAAAAGCGTCAACAGATGATTAAATTACTAATAAAAAATATTACAGTAGTCATAGATAAAAAAAAATAGTTTAATTTTATTAATAGTTTTTGCCATGAACTTTGACCTTGCTTTAGAATTTTAACAAAGGAAATAATATCACTGTAAAATTAGGAAAGTAAAAGGATTTTTTCATTTCTTTTTCTCCATTTACTTCTTAAAATTTCATATTTTTATTGTATTTTGAAGTAATATGCGATGTGATAACAGAATTTTAATATCAATATAGTAAAAATTTAAAATAAACAAAAAGGAAAAAATTGAAATTTATTTGTAAATAAATATTTAAATAAGTATTTAATTCTTTTTTAATTTACAAAGAATTATGAAGAAAAATTCTTTCACACATGCGAAATATCTTTGTTTATTATGCAGTTTTAATGCATCATTCATCATATCAAAATAACAAATTATAGAAAGGATAATAAAATTTAAAAAAATTAATTGAAAAAAAATTAAAATTTATGAAACTTTAAAAATTATTAGAAAGTAAAGAGAGTGAGCGTTCCTTCTTCAATTTCATCTCATTTCATTGATTTAAAATAACAAAATAAGGGGAAAGAAAAAATTTTAAAAATTAATTTAATAAAAATTTAAATTTATGAAACTTTTAAAAATTTTTAAAAAGTAAAGAGAGTGAGCGTTCCTTCTTCAAATCTTGTATTTTCCATTGATTTAAAATAACAAATAATAGAAAGGATAAAATTTAAAAAAAATTAATTGAAAAAAAATTAAAATCTATGAAACTTTAAAAATTATTAGAAAGTAAAGAGAGTGAGCGTTCCTTCTTCAATTTCATTTCATTTCTGTCCTCGTTTACCTTTTCAAATCATCATCACATAGCTATTATAAATGATGTTAATGCCCTCTTATTACACCTTTACTTACCTGTCTAACGCCCATTTTTCATTTCAGCCAATTTTGATGAGAGAGCCAAGTTGAGTAAATGGTTCCAAGGTAAGATGAATTAATCGTTGAGGTACAATCGATTAAATCTTAAGTGCACTTTAACTTAAATAAATAATCAATTAGCAATACTTTAAGTAATTTAAAATGATAGCAAAAAAAAAAGTTTCTTATTTGAATAAAATGTAAGTACTTTTATAGTTATAAAAAATAAAAATTTAGCAGAAATATCAAAAAAACTATATAATACGATGATAAGTAGAAACAAAAATTGGATTACATTTTAAAATCTTTTTTTTTGATTACTCAAATATTTTTATTTTACTGCTCAGTTAATTTTTCTTTTTTTATATTTGTTTTCTGCATTTACCTAATACTTTTTGCTAACTGATCAACACTTTTTGAGTGATCAATACTTTTTGCTAACTGATCAACACTTTTTGAGTGATCAATACTTTTTGCTAACTGATCAACACTTTTTGAGTGATCAATACTTTTTGCTAACTGATCAACACTTTTTGAGTGATCAATACTTTTTGCTAACTGATCAACACTTTTTGAGTGATCAATACTTTTGGCTAACTGATCAACACTTTTGAGTGATCAATACTTTTTGCTAACTGATCAACACTTTTTGAGTGATCAATACTTTTGCTAACTGATCAACACTTTTTGAGTAATCAATACTTTTTGCTAACTGATCAACACTTTTTGAGTGATCAATACTTTTTGCTAACTGATCAACACTTTTTGAGTGATCAATACTTTTTGCTAACTGATCAACACTTTTTGAGTGATCAATACTTTTTGCTAATCAATACTTTGAGAATTATTTCCGATTTATTTCGAATTAAATAAAATTATTTTAAATTAATTTTTGTTGACCAAATTTATGATTTAATAACATTCTGTAATAACTTATTCTCATTTATATTATTTTTGCTAATGAAGTAGGAAGCAATTATAGTATTAAAAAATACTATCAACCTGTGACAAAGTTGACAATGTTTAGTAATAAAGTAAATTATTAAAAGGTGAAAGTTCAACAATTTAAAATTAATTTTGATATTTATTCTAAGCATAATTTTATTTGTTTGAAAATTTCATTTCCTTTTTTTTTCTTTTCTTTTCAGCAGATTAACTTATTGAATTTATTAAGCTTAATTTTACAACTTTTAACCTATTTCAAATTGATACATTTTTTTTTTTGATATTAAATAAATTTTATGCATTGAAGTATAAAATATCATAGAAATACATAAAATAATAAATTAAGGTAATTTATTTATATCACACAACCACATTCCTCAACTTTGACATTTTTCAATGGAATTAATCGCTGTGTACCATTGTTGTACTGTTCAGCAACCTGAAAAAAAAAGAGAAACTGACAGGTAGTTAAGGTATTATTGTGGCCTAGTAATTAAGTAATCCTCTGTAGCCTAGTATGAGTAAATATTATTTCTTATTAAAAAAGAAATCAATTTGTTTTGTTGATTTCAATTTAATTATTGAATTTAGTATGATTAATTAATAATACTTACATTAATAGATGCAAATTTAATTGGTACACAACAGACCCATTTATCTTTGAACGGATTAAAATGTAAATTTGAAATTTTCATCGCTTGTACCAAGGCATTACGATCATTTGTAGCCGGAATAAGTGTTTGATCACAGATTCCATCACAGAAATTCATCAGAAATCTAAATTCAGAAATCACACACAACTCAGTCATGTTGAATTCATCAGGAATTTAAATTCAGGAATTATGCATAACTCACTCATGATGAATTCATCAGGAATCTAAATTCGGTCCTACATTCATCAGGAATTTAAATTCAATCGTAAAAATTTGACGTTGAACTAAATTCGAGAATCATTGTTGAATTCATCAGGGGTGTTGAACAATGTAAACAAAAAAATTTTGAATTAAGCAAAAAAATTTTTTTGAATGAATGAAATAACATTTGAAACAGTTAATTGCAATTTAAGTAATTAATTAAAATTATATAAAAAAATACCCATTAGGTGTTGTGATATGCTCAAAACCGCTATTTTGAAATTGAAAATAACGTGATTTAAGGCAACATTTACGATTTGAGCAATCTTCATCTCTTCGGATTTCACGTTTTTGACGTTTTTGACGGAATATTTCTGCTTTTATAAATAAGATTGGACGTAACGATTTTGGACATTGATTGTTACAGCGTAACTACAAAATAAACATTTTACCAATCATTTTTTTTTTACTTTAAAAAAATAATTTTGAAAAAATTAATTTCACCTTTTTTTAAAATTTAATTATTTACTGCAAATTCAAATACAACCATTAGTGATCAAAAAAAAAAATTTTTTTTCTTTATATTATAAAGTTATTTTATATTAAAAAATGAATAAATAAATGAGGTAGAAATTACTCGTATTATTATTTCATCTGTTTTATTCATCAACCATTTTATCATTTGTTTACTCAAATCAAATTCTGAATATTTTAACTTCACTGATTTGATATCGTCGATAAAAATTCGTAAATTTTTTTCACCACCAATATTTAGATTAATTATTGCCATAATAAAATGAAGCTTCATTTTTGATCCATGAAGAATTGATAAGAGTGATTTGAATTGAAACTGATAGCAAAATACGTTGATACCAGAGCATATCAAATTTAAAAAAAAAAAGGAAAAGAAATCATTTCATCTTTGTAAATTTAATTACAAATTTTAACCATAAATAAAAATTTTCTACCAAACCAAAAAAAGATCAAAATAAATTCCAGTAATTCAATAAAATATCAAAAAGTTTTCGATCAAAACAAAATAAATTCCAGTAATTCGATAAAATATCAAAAAGTTTTCGATCAAAATAATTTTTAAGTATTATATATATTTCGAATATTTTTGTTGTAGTAATTTTTTCTAGCAATATTTGATTAAAAATTTTTGCATAATTTTATTCAAAGATATTGATCGATTGAAAAATTTTCTACCTTTAACACCTTTAATCATTGATCGATACCTGATAAGACCATCAATGCTATCATTCGTTTCAATTACAACATTTTGTAGCGTTGAATTCAAATTATCATTATCAGTTGATAAATGATTTAACTGATAAACGATAAAAAAAAAGTTTGCAAAAACAATTACTTCATTTAATTTTTTTAAAAAAGTGAAAAAACCATCAGAAAAAATAATTTATAGAAGAAATTTAAAAAATATAAAAAACCAAATTTTCAACCTAAAATAGATTAATCAATTCATTCTTCTTCTATTTATATCAAATTAATATTATTTCTAAAATAAAATTAATAAAAATAAGTGATAAATAATAAAGAAAAGATTGCTTTAAAAGATTAATTTCATTTGACTTAAAAAAAAAAGTAAAAAAACCATTGTACAAAATAATTTATAGAATAACCAAATTTTCAATTTAAAATAAATTAATCAATCCTTTCTTCATCTCATATATTCAATTAATTAATTTCTAAAATAAAAAATAATAAAATTATTACCTTAATCGATTCAATTAAACGTTGCTTATAATTTTCAAGTAGAAAATCTTCATATTCCCATATTGTTAGCATATTTGTTGCTAATATCATCGTTGTATCATTTAAATTTATAACATTTACAACCAATGTTATTTTATAAAATAAACAAAAATAAATCAAAAACATTTTTTTTTTTAAATTATTTTTGCTATCTTTTTACAATGAATTTGTTATTTATTTTTGCTTCATTTTATCTGTTAAATAATAATATCATTTGGCATTTTTTTATTCTTTTTAACAAATAAATTAAAATGTTACAAAAGTGTATTTTTGTTTTTATTTTTTGTAAATTTGCTTTTCTTTTTCCTTTTTTTTTTTAAGATTGTAAATGACTTTTCGTATTTTTCTTTAATGAAAATTATTTTAAAATTAAAATAAAGAAATGTGAAAAGAAAGAATTCTTTTTTGTTTTTTTTTTTTAATATAAACTTTTTAAAAAGTTTTAGTATTTTATTTTTTTAGAAAAAAACTACAAACATTAATTTTGACATATATGTGAAATTCATATTTATAATTTTTTTTTGTGTGTTTTTATAATTTTAAGATATAATAAATTATTAGAAATAATTTAAATAAGCTTAAATCCACGATTACTGATTAGAAATGAAATAAAAAGAAAAAAACATTGAAAAAATTTTGAAAAAGTATAATTTAAGTAAAATTTTAAAAATTAAATTAAGTTTTGTTTTATTGTTTCGAGTAAAATTAATTTTAGAAAAATTTTTAATAATTCATGCAAAAAAAGATTGCATATACCTTAAATATTACTTTTTTTTTTCATAAAATTTACTAATAATTTTATTTCCTTCGAATTTCTGCCTTTTAACAATTTATTTGTTATTTTATTTCATTTCTTTGTTTATTTGTTTAACAATTAATTGTTTATTGTGGTAGCTATACAATTAAACAGTAAATAAAAAAACATCATATAGAAATAAATAAAACGATCAAATAAACAATTATAATTGTATTTACTCATTTAGAAGGTGAAGAAGCTTCGGACATTTCAATTTTTGGCACATCCAATGGATTATACGTCGTCTTTGTTGACGTAACTTCGCCTTTTTTTGCCTGAAATTTTATAATTTTATAGAATTTAATGAAATTAAATTTAATGAAATTAAATCATTCTGTCCATTTATTTTTACTTTTTAATATTAAATAATGCTAATCATAAATCATTCTTTACCTGTATAATTAATTATTTGTTAGATAATTGCAAATATTTCATATAAATTTAAACTGTAATTATCATAAATTTTAGGCATAAATACCTTTTAGATATTTAAAAATTTATTCCAATCAATAAAACTTTTAATCAATCAAAATGCTTTAAGTGTAAACTAAATTTGCAAATTGCAAATTTACCTTGCAAAAAAAGTTTTATTAATTTCTATCACTGATATTACCATTAATTTGTCTTTTTTTTCGTTTTGAAAAAAAATTAAATTTTGAAGAAGTAAATTTATCTCAAATTGCGAACATTTTTTTTCAAATAATTTTTAATATTAAATTAAATTCTATCGAATAGCATTAAATTTGCATAAGTTGAAAGATTAAATTAAATTAAAAAATTGAAGAAAATATTTTTTTTTTTTAATAATTAATCCTGCTAGCTTTGCTTCTTTTTTTCTCTTTTTTTTCATATTTTATATTGAAAAATGATAGTAATAAATGTTTATTTTTTTTTAAATTAAAATTTTAAATTTAAAAAAAGTATATGAAATAATAACTAACTAAACAAGCATAACATATTTGATAATTTTCTTCATAGCATACAGAACAATAAGATGCTGGACAATTTGAGCAATTAATTAAATTTCTTTTATAATATTTCACTTCACACATTAAACATATTCCAGTTTTGAATAGAAAATCTACCAATTTTTCCACTATTGTTTCAGCAAATAATTTGCTAAAATAAAATGTATCGCAAAAGATATTCTTTGATGATTACGTCAAAAAAATTTTTTTACGCTACGTGAAATGTTATATTATTCAAATGTAATAAATATTATAATGATTGCTATCTTTAAAGTATTAATTTACGCTAAATACGCTAAATACTATATTAAATATTATGTGCTAACAAAAAAAATAAATAAATAAAAATGCTATTTTTACTTAAAAATTAGCCAATATTTAATTATTTATTAATAATTTTTGATTTTTTAATTTTTTTTAAGATGAAAAAATTGTTTGTTATGTAATACAATTATAGTTTACCTTTTTCGACGAATTTCTTCACGTTCTAAAATTCTACGTTCCACTTGAAAACGTATTCGTGCTCGTGCTAACTTTCGACCATTCGTACGTACAAATAACATTTTATTATAAAGATGTATTACACGTGCTTTATTACGTTTACGAAAAATATTTCCAATTACACAAAAAAGTGTAATACGCTTAATCACATAACCAAATATAACCTAAAATTAGTTAAATTATAATAAATTTTCAAAAAAAAAAAAAAAAAAAAAACAAAAATAAGAATTCTATGAAATCTGTTAAAAAAATTTCGAACTATAAATATTTACAAATTTTAAAATTTGAACAATGATTCGATCAGCAGAAACTCTCAAAATGCTTTATAATATCAGATTTTGAATTTCATTTTATTCGAATGAAATTAGATCATTTCAATTCAGTTCAATTCAGATCAACTTAATTTAATTTTATTGTTTTCAAAAAAAAAAAAAATTAAACAAATTTTAGACTATTCATAAGAAACGTAATGTGATGATTTGACATAATTTAAAAAAATCAAAAAAAAAAAATTAAAAAATAATTGGGTTATATATATTGGTTATTTATATATAAATGTTTATAATATTTAAATTTTTAATTCTTTTAGGAGTGAAAAATCTTTCATTAACTTTTGCTATAATTATTTACCAATTCATACCTGAAGAAGAAACATTATTCCGAGTGGGAAAAGAATATATTTTCCGGCATATGACCAGTTTGGTGATACCGGATTATAAATGCATTCCTCTAGTGAAACCGTCATATTTCTATAACTGTGATAATCAAATTCGATCATTTCCTTTACTAAATCAGCTATAAATCCGGTACCATCAATCTGAAAAACGAAAATACTATATATTTTCCTGATGAAATTTACGGGAATCCGGAATGATCATTGTTAATTACAAGAGAAATATTATCAAATGATTAATTCTATAATCTCATAACAAAAATTATTTTTATTGTTGTTTTTTACAATTTAATTTTGAAATATAAATTTTTGAATGATTTTTTAAAAGCTACTTGTTAAAGTAATTTTTAATTTAAAAAAATCACTAAATTAAAATTTTTAAATGAAAGAATACCTTAAAACTAAAAAATTGTTGACTCTCGCTTGTTACATATTTTGATGTATATTTTGAAATCTATAACAAATATTAATTTAATGAAATAAAATATTTGAATAAATCTAAAGCAGTTAGAATTGTTGGATTATTTTTATATAGCAAAATAAAATTTTGAAAATTTTTGCACAATTCTTTTTGAATAACAAAATGAATTTTATTAAATTATAATTTGAAATATGGAAAAAACAAAAAAACATAACTTACATTATAAATAACTCTGTAAAAGACAAAATCAACAAATAAAACAAATAAAGCGGTAATAAATAAAAATGTAAATTTTGCAAGTGGTAACCATGAAGCGCGTATTTCTGCTTTTGTTGGAGGACTAAAATTCATTTCAATAAAATTTAGTAAATAAAAATTTTTATTTAGTAAAACAAATTTATGCATAATGAAAGCATACATTTAATTAAAATATATTAAATTTTAATTATTTTGCAAAAATTTTGTTTTATTTTATTTTTTTCTTTTTTTAAAGAAACTTACGAAATTGGTGTCATCAAATTATTTGCACGCATTTCAGCATTACTTAATGGATGTAAAAATATTTTTCCCTCATTTTTACGTTTACGATCAATATGCCAAAAGTATGACGTCAAATAAACATTATCAAAATCAATATCATTTAGATAATTATTTATCATTTTAACAGAATCACGAAATATGGTATAAATCATAACAACAAATAAGCAACCCAAAATTTGTTTCAATGTTATCAATATAATCTGTAAAATAAAGATTTTTTTTTTCTTAAATTTTAATTAAAAAATGTTTAAATCTTTTAAGCATAAAGTATAAATTGTTTTTTAAAAAATCTTCTAAGCATAAAATCTTTTGTTTTTAATTTTTAATTAACAAATAATATTATAATTTATAATTTGTTTTTTTTTAAAAAATATTTTAGGCATATGATAATTTAGGCTAAACATGAATGAGTATAATTTTAGGAGTTTTAATTTTTTAATTTATTTTAGATATGAAATTTTAATAACGCTCATTAAAAGATATATTATTTCATTTGCTACTTTAAAATTTGAAATAATAAGTGCTGTATGAGTTGATTTTGAAAACAAAATACATGATTAACTTATTAAAAAATTAACTTTTAATAAACGAAAATTTTGAGCAATTCGATATTTCACTTCTTTGATCCCATAAATTCGAACATTTCGTGGCTCAACAATTGCTCGATAATGCATCTCAAATAGATGGTTGATTGATTTCATTTATTGATTGAAATTTTATATATTCATTATTAATAAAGTATATTAATGAATAAAAAACAAAAACAAACAAACAAACAAAACTTACATTAACGCGGAGATGATCTAAAATATCTTCCGTTAAATTATGAGCATCTACCAAATCACTATCTAAATTTTTAGTTCGTGATAATACCTGATTAGTCATTTGATCACAAAATGTAATCGCTTCGCCAACCTTCAATTTATAAACATTTATAAATTTTAAAATTGAAAAAAAAAACGAAATTTTTACTTCAATAAATTAATTTACATTTATGACAATTATATGTAATTTATAAATTTTTTTCAGCAAAAAAGAAAAAAACTCTAACTAATTAATTATTTAAATGGAAAAAATTAAATTTATTCAACTTTATTTTGATTTCAAAACAAACTTTATTAACAACATAAACATGCAATTACTTATAAATTACAGAAAGAAAACAAAAAAAAAAACCTTTTTTGAAACTTGACAAATTTGAAGTGTATCAAATTTATCGCAAATATGTCCTCTAAATAGTGGTAAAAACCAAAGAATAGAATAACATTTATTCTAAGAAATATAAAAATATTTTCAGCATTTGTTTATAAACAAATTTTTTTTTTAAATTATTTCATTTTCTATTGTTTACTATGCTTTAATTAATTTGTAAATTATAAATATATTGCAAAAAAAAGGAAATATTAACATGAATTTTATATAAATTAAATGTTTCCTATAGCTAATTATATTTCCTATTTAATTATTTACTTATTTATTTATTCTAAATTAAATTACTTTTACTTTCTACCATCAATTCTCTCTCCAAAATTGTAAAATAAAAGTTATACTTTCATATCACGGAATGTTTCATGACATTTTTTCACACCTTTATCAAATACTTCATTGCATTGATAGTGCATACGCATTGATAATAATTTTGATAGCTAATTGTAAAGAAGAATTTAAAAAAATTATAATTTAAATGTATTAATAAAATAATCAGAGCTGTTAGAGTATATTATGATAATTTTATGATAATAATTTTATTATCATTATGTGAACGATCAATTATTTCATTTCATTTTTACATAAATTCATTTATTGTTTAATTTAGTATTATAAATTATTTCAATTCATTATTAAATTATTGTTAAATGAATCATCAAAATCTTATAATTTTTATTCAATTTTTTTTTTTTGTTGTTTAATTTTTTGCTTTAATAAAAATAAATTTTACTTTTGATTTAAATTTATTCCATGCTGGTGCAGCTGTTTTTTGCATTTTATCTTCTAAATCTTTTTTTGCATCTTCTGGTTCTTTATTAAGCAACATATCACGTTTGTGTAGAACCTTAAATAAAAACAAAAACAAAATTAATAATAATAACAAAGCATTTAAATTAAACACAAATATAATTAATTCTAATAAATTAAGTAAATTAATTTATTATTGAAAAAAACATAGGGATAAATAAATTTTTTTTTTTGACACTTTCAAATTGTTTGATAACTTTTTCAACAATATTTAATGTTAATAATGCTGAGAATTTTTTTCCTAATTCTAACGATAATTGCTAACGATTAATGATGATTAGCAAATGGTAATAATCATTAATTGATAATAATTAATTCATTATAAATAAAAAATCTAAAATTTGATTTGTCAATGAATAATTTCAAAAATGATAGTAATGAATTGAGAGTGAATTGTTCATTACAATTCCAAATAAATATTTGATTATTAGTGAGAAAGAGAGAGAGAGAGAGAGAGAGAGAGATTAACTTTGTCAAAAAAATTTTTTAAATAAATACTTAAATACTAATAGAAGGGAGAGAGAGAGAGAAAAGTTAGTGAAGAAAGAGAGAGAGGGACAGAGAGAGTTTTATGCATTATGCTTTCTAGCATAAATATAAGTCATTGTTTATTAATTGTTGCGCATTTTGAGATTATTATTTAATGACAAATTAATTTGATAAAATCATATATTCAATTTTTGAATTCAATTTAAATGAAATTTTATTACTAAACCTCAGCAGCATCAATTGTTGTTGCTAATGCTTTGTCTTCATCGCTTAAAGTGAAATCATATTCAATTGGCTCTACCAATGATTTTAACATTGCTATCACTTTACGTCCTTTTGATGCTGATTTACCTGAATTAAAATTCTAAAAAAAAAAAAAAAAATTAAAAGAAAAAAAAAACTTCTTTAAAAAAACTGAAATTAAACATTTAAAATATATATATATTTCAATCTTATTTTTTGAAAATAATTACAATTACTGCGAATGATAATTCTAAATAGTTTCATCTATGCTAATCAATCATTTAGAACGAAAAATGAATCATCGAAACAATTAAATTATAAAGTAATTAATGTAAATTTTTAAAAGTTGCAAAAATTTTTTTGAAAAAACATTAAATTTTTATTTGAAATTAACAATTTTTACTTCAAACATTTAACATTATATTATTATTTAATATTATTATTGTAAAACTGATCAAATTGTACTTTTAACTTTCATTTTTAGCAGTTACAAATGAAAGAGTTTATTTAAAGGAAAAAAAGAGAAAAAAAGATAATTTAAATAATTCTATTAGCAATAAATTAAAAATAATATCATTTGTAAAACTGACCAAATTGTTTAGCCATAAAACTTTCAATTGGTCCAGTAGCCATAACAACTCGTTGTGTCATCATATCTTCCTTTTGCTTAATATGACAGGTTATCATATCTGTACTAACTTGAAAATTTCGAACAATATTCTCGACTGGACCACTGCTCAAACTATTGAAAACAATAACTGTCAAAAGATTTTGACCATTTTTACCCAAAGCACCAAAGAGAACACATATAATTGCACATCGAAATAACTGCAAAGAAATGATTTATTGTTTTAATTCATCGAAAATTTTATACTTAATTCAATTAACATTTTGTTTTTTAATTTATACTTATTTAATTTAATTTTATAGTTTGTTTTTTTTTTTAAATTTCACTTATTTAATTTAATTATGTAATTTAATTGTTGTGTGTCGAAGAAAAAAGAACTTTTTTGTTTATTATTCAAATTTGATAAGAAATATAAAGAATAGCACCGGACTGATTGCAAATGTTATTGAGCAAGCAAGAATAAGTGACCATTTTAAGATTTGCTCCGCAATTTTATCAAATTCAGCAAAATTAATTTGATACCAAGCTAGAAAATTAGAAAGTTAAAATTCAATAATTTAAGAATTTAAAAAAGCTAAATTATTAATTCTGTGATTATTGTCATAAAAAAGGACATAGTTTACAGTTTGAAGATATTTTTATTAAATAAATTAAACATAGCTTGGTATTTGAAGATATTTTTATTAAATAAATTATTTTCGAAATCAAAACAAAATTAAAATTAATATTAAAATTTAACATAATTTTGATATATTTCAAGAAATTTAAAGTGATTTTTTTGAAAAAAAAACATAAAAACAATGATTTTTTTTTGAAATATTAACCAAATTTGTATAATAAAATAGCAATCAGAAATCCAACAGGAAAATTAATAAAAATTCTTAGCCAATGATAATCATAAACACCACTGTAAAAAAAAATATCAATAAATTTTGAACGGCCAAGTCGAATTCTTCGCTCTTCTCGATAAGGCTCAATGAATAATTTGTCAAACATTTTTTTTTTTTTCTTAAAAAAAATCAGCCAAGCATCAAAATGAAGAAATGATTCAATGACAATTATTCCTTCATTCTCTTATAAAATATATTAAAATTAAATGCGACAAAAAAAATTATTTTTTTTTTTTGAAGTGAAAAAATGACAAATTTACATTATATATAACATTCAAATAATTTTACTTCTCATTGAAATTAAATTTGCTAACAATAACAAAAGAAAAATTTCTGTAAATTAATTCATAAATGAATTTACTTTAATAAATTTAAATATTAGCAACAGTTCATATTACAAATTATATATTTTGTAGTCATATACAAATAAATAAACATAGACACAATTAATATCATTTAATAAACAATGCAAAATCGCAGGATTAATTAATACTAAAATTAAATTTATAAAGGTGACAACAATTATAATACAGACAATGTTAACTACAAAGCTTAAAAAATTATTACTCAAATGAAACAAATATAAATTAATTATAAATTAATGAAAATAATAAAAAATTATAAAAAAAAAACGGAAAAAAGGAATATAAACTATTCGTTTATTCTAATAATTATTACACAAACAATAATTATTAGTATTATCGAAAAAAATAAATAAATAAAAGTGAAAATTAAAATTAATCTTATTTTTTGTACTCTTTGAAATTTTATATTCTAGTTAAAAAATGTTTTGTTAATAAAGTAATTGATGCAGTTTAAAGATAATCCATCAGCAGAATCATAATTTTTATCTTTGTCATTCATTTTTCATAAACTGAATAATAACTTTGAAATTTTTTAATACTATTATCTTTACAAAATTTAGTAAATCAAACGTTTAACATCGTTAATGAACCAATTTCTCTCAAATTGTATTTTCCACTATTTTTTTTGCTTCTTATTATAAAACTTTTGAAGAAATATTCTAATTACAAAAAATTTTGCTACTTAAATTGTGTAATTTTTGATTTTTTTTTCTTTCTTTCATACATTTAAATAATATCAAATTTGACATAAAATAGTTTAAAAAGAGTTTTGCTAAGTTTAATTTGCATTTTATACTATCTTTTTTTTTTATTTTGTATTATTTTAGTTGCATTTCAAAATAAACAGATTGCAATTTTTTAAATTACGCAACCACATTCCATCACTTTGACATTTTCTAGTACACGATTAAATTCAGTACCATTTCTAAATTCCACAATCTAAAAACGTTTGCTATCGTTATGTCAAAAACTGCAAACAAAAAGCATGGCCAAATGTTTTTAATTTTTTTTTTAATGAAATAATAAATGCTTAATTTTTTTTTTAACGAAATAAATTAAATTAAAATTTAACAATTAGCTTATTCTTCTAACTTATAAGAAAGCTTTTATAACATATCAACAACAATGATAATATTATTCTCAAATTTAATTTATATTTGATAGATTTTTGAATTTGATTTATAAATAAAATGCTAAAATACGAGAAAATAATAAAAGTGACCTCAACAGATGACCATTTAATTGGTATGCAACAAGATAATCGTCGTCGGAATGGACTTTCTGGATGATTAATTCTGTCTTGCAAAATTAATGCATCACGATCATTAGTCTCAATTTGCATATTGCATTCGCCATCACAAAAATTCATGTTAAATCTGTTTAAAAAAAATGAAATTTACATTCATATATAGATATATAAGGAAATTTTAAATGAAATTTTAGATGACAATAAATATTTTAGATGAAATGTTTACATATGAAATATTATATTAACAAATTTTATATTTCACAATTTTTTACTTCCATAATTTTAATATTTCTTTATTTCTCATAATATATAAATTAGATTAAATGAAATTTTTCATTACTTAAAATTAATAAAATATATTTAAAAACACATAAATACCCTGATGGCCTAATAATATTATCCATGCCGTGCTCATGAAAATCAAAATATACACTTTTTAAGCAACAAAATCCGCTATTACAATTTTGATCAGTGGCCCGTTTTTTCCGAATATTCCTGCGTCCTAAAAGAAAAAGTACCATTGCAAATGCATTTGATAAATTGATAATATAAATCTGATAATAAATTGTCAATAAATAAATTGATAATATGAATCTGATAATAATTTTCAAATATGAAAAGTAATTTTTTAATCATTTATTGAATTGATAAATTTGATTGCAGTGTAAATTGAAATAACTATTTCAAAAAGTTACTAACGTCATTTGGATTATATTTCAAAAAAAAAAAAAAAAATTCCAGAAAAAATTTTTTTTAAATTCTGAATAACATTTGCTACAGATCTTTGCTTACTGTAACTCTTACAGAATTGTCATAAATCGACTGTAGCTTCCACCTGAATCACTAGAAGAATTGTATTTGCTAATTAATCTGTCAAATCCAATACTACGTTTGATATTTTGATGAATTGGCATTGCAAGCATTTTCTGAAAAAAAAAAGAAAAAAAATTTGCAACAAATTAGCGAATAATGCACTAATAGAAAAATAATAATTCATTTATTTTAAATAAATTATTTTGTTAAGCGAAAATAACATTGAATTTGAGAAACTTTGCTTTAAAAGTTAAATTAAGCGTTATTTTCAGATAGGATTAAATTTCTATTTTACTTTTTCATTATTTATTATTTTCCAAGAAAATGATTTATAAGAGAAAATAGATTAGTAATGATGGAAAAAATCAACAAAATGATAAAAATTGAAACATTGGAAGGAATCAATCTTATCAGCTAGTAAAGAAAATTAAAAACAATACTTTATTTGCTTTAAATAATTTACTGCCAGAAGAACATGGCAATGACGATGATAATGGCAGATTTGGTGATATTGATAATGATCGCATTGATAATGATACGAATGATTGTTCATTGATTTGATAAGTTAAACAAAAAAGGATCATTGCAGTGAGCAAAGTTAATTTCACCGGAAACTGAAACATTTATTACTCATAGACAAATAATTACATTTATTTCAGACATAAATATGGCTAATCGACAATTGATAAAAGGAAAAAAAAAGAAAGAACACTATCCGGCGTCAATTTATTTGAAAGTTTATTTACATTTATATACCATCATAATATCACCTTTCCAATTTTGTTCGAATGCTTTCTTGCAAAAGTAATATTTTTCTTTTAAAACAAAAAAAAGATAATTTTTTTTTAAAAGAAAAAGAAAAAATTCGGCTATAAATGAACTGTAATTTTTGAAATTAAATTGAAGAAATTTTATTTTAAAAATTTAGTATATAATTTGATTTATAAAAATAGATTTTAGAATAATAAAATAATCCAATGTTAAATATCGTAAAGTAGTGATAAAAACAATAAGTAATAATTGTCACTTTTATAGTTTGACAACAAATTAATTAGCTCGTTTCATTTAATCGAATTTAAATCAAACAAAATTGCTATCACATATTGTAGAGTAAAACTTTTACACTGTGTTAAATCAAAAAATGATACGTATACATACACATACACGCACACACACACCTACAGTTATACTCACGTGGACATACACAGTACACACACCTACACATACACGCATGTATATATATACACATTCATAGACATACACACATACACGTATACGTAAACATACACATACACGTACACGTAAATATACACATACACACACACATACACAGATGTATTTTCATTCGTTTCAGCTGGAAATATTTCAAAAGTTATTGCTCTTTTTAACTGTGGCGGTTTTTTCATTGTATTTTTTGCTGAGTTATTGTCAAATTAATTAAATTTGTAATCTATTTATTTACTTATCAAACAACTTTAATACCATCATACCGTAATCAGCTTTTGATGGTAACTGTAAAATTTGATTGTTGTGATTTGATGGTTACTTCAAATTTCATCAGACGTTGTGGTTTCCTGCAAAAATGTTTCGAAAACTTTCAAATGTTATTAAATTGTAAATTAATCGTTTACTTATGTTTATTAATAGCATTTAAAAATATTATTTTTTATTGAATCAAAAATAATAACATTGGTTTAAGAATTAAATTAGAGTGTAAAAATCTAGAAATTTTTTTTTACATTCGAAATAACAAAGCTTCTTTTCAATCTGTTGAAATTTCAGAAAAAAGTATTATTTGCAAGGGAGCTAGACCATTTTAGGAAGTTAATTATGTGCTAAACGGGAAATGTTACAAGCCCGGACAGGGCAATAATTCGTATTTTTTCAGGAGAATTGGTTTGGTCATAATGTCATAAATATTAATTGATGATAATTGCTACCTCGAAAAAATCTACTGAACTCAATGGGATGCTTCATTGTTAGATTTTGTTAAGTTTTTGCTGTTGAAAAATTTCGTTTTTTCAAGCTTGGAGTCTGTTTTAATTGGTAGGCTAAAATACTGGAACTGTAAATATATCCCATTATTTATCAGGATCTTTCGATTAAATAATGTTTCAAGAATTGTTAGAAAATGAAACAAATTTTGTACAAGGAAATCATAGATTTTCTTTGCAGTAATGGTGCAGATAACTGGACATTGGTTACTTTTTGTCAATGAGTTCTTCTTCCTTTGTCCATGCTATATTTCTATTTCTCTTCTCATTGGGTAACATTTTATTCTGTTAATTTAGTGTGTTGGGATAAACATTATGTCATTATTACCGATTATGCAAAACATTGCTGCAAATTGTGATCTTTTGCTTCGTTGGCTCATTGACGCTCTTTTAAAGAAATTACATAGCTTAATCAGATCACAAAGAAAGAAAAAAACAAATGAAAAATCCCTCCCCCCTCTATCCCCTCCTTCCTCAAAAGAAAAAAGAGAAAGAATTTAACTCTAAAATAAAAACATTACAAATAGATTAGCACATAAGTAGATACTACAAAGAAAGAAAAAGAAGAAGTAACTAGTATAACATAATGGATCATCAACTCGTTATCAGCTATAAATAATATATTCGCAGGGAAGTCATATTTGCACATGATGTCACATCTGCATATGATGGCTATATCTGCACGTGATAGCCATGTCTGGATGTGATGGTCATGTCTGCACGTGATGGCGATATTTGCAAATGATGACCACATCTATACTGTCGCGGACCTTAATACTGCGAAACTCTAAATTATTATTGTGGGAGTTGAGGATATGAGTAAGAAATATGTTCTTGAAATGTTGCAAATAATGCTTGTAACTCGTTGTTTCCAATCTTATGTTTAATCTGTATACGATACCAGCTTCTCATTTAGTTGACCTCATTATTGTGTGTCGCTTAACAACTTTTACTTAACTGATGTCCTTTGTGGCTTGTCAACTAGTAATTAGATTTGCTTGTAAACTAAGTCAACAGCTCTTTGTTAGACCGATTACTATTTCGGCAGGTTAATCTCTTATTGTAAATGATATACTTTGTTTATGCATATTACTTGCTATATAATGAGGTTACTCTTGCTGAAAGGGGATACTATGTGCTTTGACCAAGAACCAGGAGAGTTCAACTTCAATTTTTCTCTATCAGTTATTGTACTATTGCTTCTGTTAATAAAAAAATTCTTATATTCCTCTGTTATCACACATATTTCATTTACATCCAACGAATCTCCCAAAATAATAATTAAACATTCAAATCTCCCACGACACACACATCGCGGATACACGTGAATGTCGTCAAAAAAGCCATATTTGAATATCGCGGATAGCAACCGGGAATGAACTACGCACCAAATTCGGAACGAGGTGGTCTATTGATATGAAGATTTGAAGGCATTTGTTATAAGAGAAATTATCAGTCCGCTTTTTTTCATTATTGTATCTTTTGATTGGCAAAGCATTTATGAATAAAATTTTATTACTACACAAACAAAAAAAAAAAATTAAGTGATTGTTTTTAACAGGTTTCAACAAGGTTGAATTTTGCTGTTGAAAGTAAATAGTAAATAAATGTAATCGTATGAGACTGGATAGACTTTTTACAGCATTTTTTTATTAATGTTGCATCGATTTGTCCATTTTTTTATTTATTTATTTTTTTTCATTCTGTTTTAGATTATGCAACATTCTTCGGTGAAACCAGTACCATTAAATAATCTTTTAAAACGAAGGGAAAATGCTAAAGTTGGTGGTACAAATTTGGAGGACGAACAGAATACATTCCGATCTATTGTAATGCAAACAGATGTTTTACATGATCAAAAAGGCACAGTTTATGTTGAATTTGGTTCAACGAAAATTATTTGCTCAGTTGATGGTCCAAAAGAAATAACGAAAAGTACAGATGTCGATCCAACGGAAGGACAAATTTATGTTTTCTTGAAGAATGTTTCAGCAGAAAGCAATTCTGTCTCAGGTATTTGTATTTTTTTTCAGCTTTTTAAAATATTCCACAAAGTTCAAATACCGAAACAATTAAGCAAATGAATTCATAAATAATACTGTATCCTTAGTTAGGAAATTTCATTCATAGTTGTGGAAAAAAATTATTAAAGAAGGGATAGAAATATGGGTGTTGTCCATATTATTACGTTTTCCAAAACGTGATTTTGATATCACTGGGCGGTCATGCCAAATGTATCTATTCTAAGCTACCAGTTTTGGTTTCGCCTCATCACCAACTTTCCCGTAGATTTCCATCTCTTGATACAAAGTATAAACAAACAAACTGAATCATTTTATCAATCTTTTCGAAGATGTTTCGTATCCACTGGACTAATAGCAGTAGATTATAATAAATAAAATTAAAACAAAATGAAAAACAGAAGTTAAATGATGTATTTCATATGTGTTTACGTCAGTAGAATAAAATAGTTTGACTGAAAAATAGTAAGTAGTCATTTATTGATCCTCTTAGTGCATTATTTTTGAATTTCAGGTTCAAATTCTTTCTCAGCTTCAAATAAAGAAAACAATAGAATACGTAATGCCATTGAGTCAGCGTTACGATCAATTGTTTGTTTGGAATTATTTTGTAAAGCACAGATTGATGTTGAAATAACTGTTCTCAATGATGATGGTGGTGTTTTGGCAGCTTCTTTAATAGCTTCTTCATTGGCTCTAATCGATTCTGGTATTCAAGTTTATGATGTTTGTGTAGCAGCTCATATTGTTATGTTAACTGATGGACGCATCATTGTTGATCCATCAATTAGCTCATTTCCACTCTCTTCCATACCTGATTCAGAGGATTTCCCTAGAAATGCTCATCTATCAGTTACCGTTGGTATCATGCCATCATTAAATCAGTTAACATGTTGTGAATTTATTGGCATTGCAGAACCTCACCAATTAAGGCGTGCTATTGCTGTAGCCGTAGAAAATTCATTGAAATTATATCCTTTGGTGCGTAAAACACTTACCAACAAGTGATATAATGATTTGTTAACTGATATTACAATTACTGATATTGATAGTCAGTTGATTTAATAGCATGCCAGTAGTTGTTTCATTTGTGCTACTACTTGGATAATACCTAAATTGTGTTCTTGATAAAACGAATTGAGAAATAGCTTAATAAATTTATTCAGGGATTTAGGCAGTTATATCAAGGTTTGTTTCTATTTTTCGATCTCAGTTTGTTACAGATTTGTTTTTTATCACTGTTTTTGTTATTTTCCTGTTGGTAACTGATGATTGTGCTTTATTCGTTTTGATTCCAACTAGCTAATAAGAAAAAGTTGTATTCAATACCGTTACAATATTTGTCTTAGGCATACAGTTGTGCTGATAAAACTTAATTTTTTTTTTTTGCTGTTGATCAGTGGTTGTTTTTTTTTTTTTTTTTTTTTTTTTTTTGTAAAATGCTAAGCAAACCTCATTGATTCGTATCTGTTTTATTTTCTGTTTTGTGACGTTTTTTATTCTTGTGATTTCTGATATTTTTGAAGGATTTTTCAAATAAACAAAGAATATGGGCAGTGTTAAGTTTCAACTTCGTTTATTATTATCCTAGATTTTGCACTGATTAAAATACTTCTTCAGGAAGCGTTGAGTAGAAAGTTAGCCAAGTACATTTCATTGATAAAGAAAGATTCCTCATCTTTGTTGTTTTGCCATTAAACTATTTTAATGAGAAACAAATTTCTTTTCTCTTTTTTGGAATTGACTGTGCTACTATTAAGTCATTGGGGTTCCGCAAAATCATTTATCATCCTTTTTTGTTTCTCGCTTATGTAAGTATGATAAGATAATGTTAACATTACCATTGGAAGTATCCCGATATTGTTGTGTCTCTAATTATTGATTTGAGAGCACGAATATTTTTTGTTTTTATCTTAGCTTTTCTTTTTTTACAGTTGTTTTTGTTTCAAGGGACGGAAAGATAGCTAAAATTAGTCCTATTTCTTTCTCAGGAATTTTTGGTTTTCTTTTGATGTCTTCGGACCAACAAAAAAAAAGTTCGTCGGAAAAAAAATCTTCTGCTCCTAACTACCATGGTGCCACATCTCAAAGTGCTGGTTATGGTTATCGACGCTTCCAAAATGCTCCAAAGAAACAACTCAAACTTCAGAAATCATTAGCAGTAACTAATAATGATGAGATTGAAAGCATGGAACATAGTTCTGCTACTGTACCTATATCAAATGCAAGTGTAGAAGAGAAAGGTAAGTAAGGAGGAAAATTTTTACCTTCCATAAGTTGGTTTGAATACATAAAGTTACATTGTTTTTGATTTGTTGTTTAAGACGTCGTAAAATAATTGAATAAACTAGTTATAAAACTAATTAACTAGTTATGATAACTATTTAAAACTAATTAAAGTTATGATTCTAAATGGCTAGTTATTAAACTAATTAAATTGTAATTCCTACCATTTTGATAGTTTTCACATGTTTCCGCTTATATTTTAATTATCGATTTTTTAAAATTATTGAATATATTTTCAATTATATATTATTAAGTTTAACAGTTTTAATTATTTAAGAGTTTTTAATTGTTTAGTTATAGTTTTGATTATTATATATCATAACCGACAGATATAACGAATGATTCAATGGTTGACACTTTTATTGACTCACTTAGTTCAATTGTCAATCTTTCAGTGATATTTGGGATTAATTACTTATGCTGTAATAAATTCATTTGCAGGTTTAACAAAAAGAAGAAATAATGGTGCTTTTTCTGCATTGTCACTAAAGATTTCAAAGAGAAAAGTGTGTAAATATTTTGCCACTGAAAATTCGTGCTATTTTGGAGAGTACTGCCGATTTTTACACATAAGGGATGAAACTATTGATAACAATTTTGATTCTGTCCCATCACATATCAATCCAAAACCTACGAGAATTGTAGTTCGACCAAATATAACAGCAATAAGTAGAGACGATATTGGAAAAACAGAACAATTAGATATCCGAAATTCTGAATTTAATTATTTTGGTCGAAGATTTCATGATGCAAAGTTTGCATATGATGGCAGTTCGTATTTTATTGAATTCGACTACAAAATAACAGATCCTGATTGGGTTTGTTTTCTGGAAACTTTTTTGAATTATGCCTACTTTACAAATAAATTTTCTACATGTATAACGCTATTATTTTACACTTTAGAAAAATTTTCATTGATACTGAACTGACAAGAATCTGACGAAATTTAATATGTCCTTGTACAAAAAGTGAAAATTTTGTACGAGTTTCAAATTTTATGATGGGAAAATTTCAGGTTTTCGATGTAAAAACTATTGGACTGCGACTGAAAATTCCAGAACATTATCCATGTGAATTGCTTATGGTAACCTTGAATCAACCAACTTTACCTGTGCCACTTGCTTCGCACTTCAACAAAGAAGTTAAAAAATTCCTGGAGGTTACTGTTATTCAAGAATTGTAAAAATGCATAAGGAAATTAACTATGTTGATCAGACAAAAATGAAAGCATTGGGAGAAGAGATCATAAGTTAGTTGACTATCCAGTACAAATTTACTTGGAAGATAGGTATGGATAGATTTAAAATCAAAAATGTTGTAAATTTGACTTATAAATAAATAGCAGCTATTCCGCATGGTCTTAGAAATTGATATAGTCCGAAGAGAACTGTTAATTCATTTCGAATAAAGTTCAGCTTAGTTTATATACTTCTACACTTTTCATTGACATATATGTAAAATCTTACAGATTTGGTTAATTCAGGCAAAAAATATTCAGTGATTGTTATTTGTGAATGTTGTTCGAAAGAAATTAAATTTGTCTTAATAATAGGAAAAGTTTATGGAAGCAAAGAAATGCGACACTTATGTCGGTATCGGTAAAATGTTCATTCGTTGGTTGGATCGTAATATTTTAAAGTTTTTTGTCGAAGGTTTGCGAAAAACAAAAATGATTGTTGAAGCCGAAAAGGAAGGCATTAAGTTGCATCAAGCGAGTTTTTCAAATTTGATCAACCAAAAGGAAAATACTGATACCGAGGTATTATTGTTGAAGTGTTTTGGCAAATTGTTCAATTGGTTCATATATTAATTTGAATGTTGAATAATACTAGTTTTCAACTTTACTTGTGCTATTTGTTTTTTCCAGACCGATAAAATGAAAGTGGAAGTTTGTGATAATGCTGAAGTAACGCAGAATCGAAACTACAACGAAACAAGAGTGGAGTCTTCATCCAAGACAGAAATCGCTATGGTAAGTCTAAAAATATTGTTATGATACAAGGTGATTTTCGATATTTCATGTAGAAATATTTTATGTTCGCTTTGTGGCAAATGTATAATTTTTAAAGGCATGTACTTGTTCAATTAATTGTTAGTTTATTGGATTATTGCTCTATCTTATTTCTAAGCTGTCTTCATGATATTTCTATTTGATTACTGTATATATATATATATATATATATATATATATATATATATATATATATATATATATATATATATATACACTTTGACAGGAAGAAGTTAACTCTAAACAATCACCAAAAGGGAAAGCCATTCAAGCTCGTATTTTTTGGAATGATTTAAACGGAAATATTGCTACATTATCTATTATCACAATGGCTGTAAGTGTCAAATGTGCAAAATGTAATGCATTATCTTTCCTGATTTGCTCAGTGAAACAACTTTCTACATCACACTGCAAGAAGTAAGTTTTTGGCGTTTGTTTTTGAATTATTAAAGTCTGACTTACAGAGTTTTCGAGGATTTCATTTTAAACATGCCTTAACCGTTATTAGTATTCGATTAAATAAAATTATCGAGGAATGTGTGCCTTTGTTTCACTAATGAAAGATAGATAAAATAAGCAAAAGCTATTATTTTGAAATGAGTAGAAAGAAAGAATTTAGAAGTGTTTTTCAGATGTTTAAATGGCTCATCAATCCACATTTCTCCTCAGCTCGTACATCAGAATTCAAATGTTATTGCATTACTTGAACCAAAAGGCTGTATTCCAGTAGATTGTGTGCTACTTTCATCAAAATTATCTTATACCTGTTTACAATGCAGTAAAGAGGCTACAGTTGAGGTAGTCCTTAGTTTCACATTAACATAAAAATATACTATGAAATTATGACGAGAGTTCAAATTATTGATAAGGGCGGTAGAGATTTTTTCTTTTTTCTAATTATATTTTTACTTTACTTTGCTGTTCTGTGATTATGCTATGAATAGATTGTTTGAATAGATTAATAATTAAAGATTTGGTTCTTTTTCGTCTTCTCTATAATTTGTCGGCGATAAATTTTTAAGCTTTGTGTGAATTACTACGGTTATCAGTAATGCCGACCATAAAATATGATGTGTATTTCTTTAAGCCTCGTTATTACAACATTTTTTTTTTTTCAAATTTCCGCATAATTGTTAATTTGTTTGTTAAATTTATGACATACTTGACGTTATTCATTATCGCTGCTGTAACGGATTTATTCAATCATTTTGAATTTCATAATGATCAAGTATTTGCTTTTTATTAGAATCAATTAATGTTTATCATTGCTTTCAGAATCTTACATATGGAGTATCTAATAAAAGTTGGTGTTATGGCTGCCATAGTAAATGTGAATTTGAGATTAGAACTATTCGATTTGTTGGTGATTTTAATGCAATTGAGAAAGAAGATAGCTCTGTACCAAAAGGCAAAGTGAGTCAACCTTATTCTTTTCTTCAACTATTTGATTTTCTCGACCATATTAATTCAACTGGTCATTTTGATGATTGTTATAATATTTATGTAAAGTATGAATGTGGCACTGCGGAAAGAAATACTAATCTATCTTGATGTCTATATGAAGTAGAGACTATATTAGGTAGCTAATTTAACAAATAGTAAAACTTGTCGGTTTATATAAGAATGAAATAGTCATGAATCCTTTGTCAGTTACAAGCAATAGGATTATAATGTATAAGTGAGAGAATGCTTTGAGTATAACAGTAATGCTTGAAGTTATGCTGTGAAATCGAAGCAGTTATTAAATTTATCTCATAACTAATTAAATGTTGTATGAGATAATGATATTCACATAATGATATAATCATTACTAATGAATACTTAAAAAATCTGCGATACAACCACTTCTATAACTTATTTTTTGCTCGTCCTATTTGCCATTTGTTTATTAGATTTATTTATCTTTCTTTCTAGTTACATTCTTTTTTTTTTTCTAGCAAAAAAAGAAGAAAGTTGAGCGATCAGTAATGTTAGTTGAAGGTCAACCACTTCCCGAAAATGGAACATGCAAACATTACAAGAAAAGCTATCGATGGTTCAGGTGTTCGTTTATGTTTAACTGAATAGTATTTTTTCTCATATGATTTTGGGATTTTTGTTTGAAATTTAAATTCCAAGCAGAAATTTGGATTCCAAACATATAGTTTTATAGATTTCCCTGTTGTGGAAAGCTTTATCCCTGTGATCAGTGCCATAACGACGCTGAAAAAGAGCATGAGATGAAGCTGGCTAATCGAATGGTCTGTGGTTTTTGCAGTAAGGAACAGGTAATATTTTAAAATTACTATTTCTTTATAGTAGAAAAGGTAAAAAAAAATGGACATCTATTTTTCTATTTCTCTCATTAATATCTTTATTATAAGCTTCTATTTCCAAAAGTGCATTTTTTTCTTTTCTTTTTTTTTTTGAATTTCATTAAAGTTTTATTTAGCCATTTCAAAAAGCCAAACCATGCATAAATTGCAATGAGAATGTTACTCGTGTAAAATCACATTTCTGGGAAGGTGGAAAAGGATGTCGAGATCAAGTCGTAATGTGCAGGTATGGGTTAAGCTTCGGATAAAATAAAGCAATAATTTAATTAGTTAGTGAATAGAATTTAAAAAAGATTGTCGATAATATTTGATTATAACGATTAGCTAAAATGTAGGAATTATTTTAATTTCTTCCAAAAATCAAATTGTATTTTCTGTCATCAATATTTGATAAGGTTGAGTATAATCTTTTTATAGGAATGACAGACGAAAGTACGCAAATAGTTTGATAAAGACTGTTTCCAATAAACATGCTGCACAGTTGAAATTTAAAGATGATAATAAAAAGAAGTGATACTTTAGTATTTGTATTTATTGGCCATAAATATTGACAATGCAATTGTTTAAATAATTTCCAAAAAATATATTTTTGGCTTGTTATCAAAGACATATGAGTATTTCACTTTTGATTTTACTTTACTTGTAAATTATTGTTTGTTGCTTATTATTCGATGTAATTCGTATAGTGTGAAATTTTTCTTTTCCGTGATAAGCTCACTGATATGATTAAAGTATTTTAGTCATACATTAAGTTCAGCATAATTTAAGTCATCAATAAAATGTTTTTTTAAATTGATGGTATATTTCTCTTCCTTCTTTGACTTACCTTTTTTCTTTTTTTCTTTCTGTCCCTTTCTCTCTCTCTCCCTCTCTCTCTATCCATGTTCATTTATTTCATTTACTGGTTTGTATAAATGCTCTCATCTGCCTTATTTTTCTTTTGAAGATACTACTTTTTATAAGTGATCTTTACTTTCCATATAAATCATTCTGGTTCATTCTGGTTGTGTTTCTATGAAAATAAATAAAAATATCAACTTTTATAATCGTTAAAATGCTTTTTTGATAATTGTTTTCTTTGTTAGAATACCTAATTATATGATGCTTTCATGCAATCTACAATAATTCAAAATTTAATCCAAAAATTAATACAATTTACAATAATTTGAAATCTTAATCTTTCATTATTTTCTTATTTTCTTGACTTTTTCCTATCAGTAATGAACTGAAAAAGAAAAATTCATATATTTAAAATTTTTTTTTATATTTCTTATTATATATTAAATCTAAAATTTACATTTTTTATTCATTAATTTTCATTACAAAAGATTATTTTAAGGTCTCGGTAATGTCTGATATTGAAAATGGTTCGACTGAAATGGTTGCTACATATACATATCGTTATCACTTCTGTAAATATTTGACACCAATACGTACGGGTATAGGTTTGCTAACAATTTTAGGTAATAATTTAGAAATGTATAAAAACAAAAGAATTATTCATTACTACCAATCACACTCAGAAAGATCGCATATTTTTCATAAGTTCTTTAATTAAATTGACAACCATACTGTAGGGAGAAGTCCTTATCTTGATTACTTTTATAATCTTAAGTTAGAGATATTGGAGTATTAATACTTTTTAATTTAATTAGCTACTTATATTCTATGTACATTTCACTTTTCAAAAGTTTAATTTTAAAAAGATCGGATTTTTCATTTAATAACATTTAGTAAGTTTCAAAATATAAAAAAATGTCATAAATTAATTGGCAGATGTATGATTTAAGTTTATCAAGTTTTATTTGAATTTAGTTGAATAATACTTCAGAAATTTATGTGTATAATATTTAGATTCGATTAGGAATTTCTAGCTTAATGGTTATATTTAAATGTGATATTACAAATGTTCCTAAATGATATTATGGGTTCTTGATTATATGAAATAAGTATTAATCAGATTTGGATAAATAAACGATGACAACAATTCTATTATGTATTAATTTTCATCAGCATTGTTTATCATTATCTGACGAAACATAATTTAATTTGTAACTATTTGAATGTATTTATTATTACTGGATTGTTTATTTTAGTACGAGAATGATAAGGTTGTTTATCATTTGGCTGTTTATCACTAAGATAAAATTGGAATTGATTGAGGGGTTAATAAAGCACCATGTAATGTAATAAATTTTGAGAATCATTTGAGTGGTTTGGTTAGCATCGATTAACTCAATTCTATCAATCAATTCATTTCCATTTGGAATATATTTGGCTTTCATTGGAGTGCCTTTATTTTTGCTCGAAGCAGGCTATATCATTCGACTTTGTTGCGGGTTTGATTTTTATTTTTTTTCAAATGATTGCTACTTTTCATTTATTTGTTTGTAATCTTTGTATAAATTGTGTAAACCAAATATTTCTCTGTCTTTTCTTACTTTTTAATTTAAATTGTGTTTTCTTAGAGAGTAATTTTTGTTTGTTTGTTTGTTTTTTCACAGGAAAGGATAAGATTTTATTATCAGTGATAAGATTTTATCATAGCTTTAATGTTGCCCTGTGGTAATTATATATGATTATCATTTTCTGTGTTAGATAGTATAGAGATTTATAAATGATCTATTGTAAAAGATTTTAAGAAGTAGAAGAAGTGATATCAAAGTGTAGTAATATTTAAACAATGGAGATTTTTTATAGTGAGATTAAAATTAACCTTTTGTTTTTCCTTTCTTTCTTTTTCTTTTCTTTTCCTTCTTTTTTTGTTGCAGAGTTGAAGGTGTATGTTGTCGAGTATTTACATTGATTTTGAATTTTGATGGTATTAAACGTGGATTACTCTATTTATTCTTTGCTATTTTTTGTTTTTATCCAAATTTGACAAAATCAACCGTTTCTCCAGGTATTTTATTTATTTATTTCTTTTAATTTCATCATATTTGAAATGAAAATTTGAAATAATGAATAATGTTAACAATTTTTATTAAAATAGTACTGAATATCAGTAAAATATTATTGAATCTCAATTATACTAAAAGTTAGTTTGTCCATTTTTTATCTTTCTTATGCATTATGAACACTTTATCTATGAGATTCATCAGTTTTAATTTTTCCTTTTTTAAGAAATTTTTTCTTTTTTCATTTCAATCTTTTTTTTCTGTGTATATATGTGTATTTTTTTTTTTTTTTTTTGAACAGTAGTAGTCTACATGGGAGCACAAGTAATTAATAAGTAACAAATGCTAAAGTATCTATTTTAGATTACATTTTTCATTTCCAGGTATCTTTTTGATTTTAACAGCCATTTTGTACCTGTTAAAACCGATACAATTGAAGAAAATAGTAGTGGCACATGAGAGTGAATCAACTGTACAATCAGTTCGATGAATTAATTAAATTCTATATGAAAATTTCAAGCATTTGTATATTTTAAACAATTCACTTGTTTTCTTTTCTATTATCTTTTTATGCTATTTTCTTTTTACCTTAAATTTTTCTTCTTTTTTTTCATTTTAAAGCAATTGAGATTTTATATTCATTTCATTTAATTATTCCTTTGTCTGTTTGTTTTCTTATTATATCATTCAGATATCAATTAAAGAAGTAAATATTTGGAATGATTACTGAATTTATCAATTTGCAATTATTAAAATGATTGAGCTTTCAGATATTTTTCGATTAAATAAACAATGCTCCTGAATTAAATATTAAATCAAATAATTTCTTAGAAACTATGTCAACATTTCTCGTTTCTTTTTCATTTCATTTTTGTGCATTTCAAATATTCATTGAGGACTTTATTGATAATATATAAAATGGGTCTTTTCATTACGTATTTTTATCAATTTTCATTGGTTTCATTTTCTAGTATCTTTTGTATGTTAATAATTAAAATTTTCTTTCATTAAAAAATAAATAAATAAATCCATAATTCTGTGTTAGAAACAAAGTAGTGCTCCATGCAATGGTGCAAAAAGTAAGAAAATTTTTTTATAATATTTATTTACAATGACCAATCAATAATGTAAGATTTCATTTTTCTAAAATTTTCGAAACAAAAAAAGTAGTTTAAGAATTTTGTATTGGAACAATCAAAATATTTATGGATGCTTATTATATTTATATAGCGTTTAAAATTAAATTAAATTAAATATTTTGGATGAATGTAAGAAATATGCATGTTAAAGTATTACAAAAATTAAAATTGTTCTATCAGCATGAATATGTTTGTTTGTTGTTTCTTTTTAATGATAATGTACTTTTTGTTTAATTAGAATAAAAAGAAATAATTAAACTTCAAACGAAATAGATTAGATTTATTCAATTGTAAACAAATATATATATATGAAAGTATATACAAATATATTACGTGGAATGAAAAGTATATTACAAATATATATTACGTGAAAAAGAAAGTGAAATTATATAAAGTATAATTGTGAATGATTTAGGAGTATAAGAAAGTTATTTAAATAATTTGATACTTTACTTTGTCAATTTCTTAGATTTTTATTCCATGTAAAGTATGTATATATAACAATAAAGAATAAATTATGCTTTGAAGATAATAAATATAAAAAGTCAATAAGTTTAACAAAAAAATAAGATATAAGTAAATAAATAAATAACGAAATGGATAATGAGAGAGAGAAAGAGAAAGACTATAATTCTGAAACAATCCAAAAAAAAAAAAGAAAAAGTTAGAAAGAAATTTAGAATAATTCCAGAAGGGTTCTCTTCCTTTCTTTTTTCTTTTTGTATCTAGAAAATTCTTTAAATCAATTAAATTAAAACAATAAGAATGGATTTCTATTTGTGAATTTATAAGTGATAAGTTAATTTATACGGAAATATAATAATGAATTTATCTCAAATTGTTATTCATTCATTTATTCAATATTTAACAATGAGGCACAATTAAAATAAACCTCAAAATCTAAGTTAAGGTTTATTTAAGTTTATTTTGCTAAAGTTTAACATTGATGTCAGTTTATTCATAATTGTTTGAAATTGTTACAAAAATAAAAGTTATTATAATAACTTACTTTAGCATATATTTAAACAGTATAAGTTGAATAAATTTTAATAATATCTCATTTCAAAAATTTTAACGTTCTTTACAAAAAGAAAAAATTATTTATGACAGGACTTCTTTTTTTTTTTACCAATAAAATATTTTAATAATTTACAAATATATTTTTGTTATTTGTAGTAAAGTATTTAATTTTAAAATCAAATGCAACAATTATTTTATATATAAATCATAAATGGATCATATTCAATGACTGTATATTATGAAATAGGATCAATCGGATTTTTGTATATTATGGAACAGGATCCGGTTTGTATGTTACGGAACAGGATCCGACTTATATATTATGGAATAAGATATGGCTTACTAAAGTTTTGATATAAGTTTACTGAAATCATTACTTGGTCTTCGTTTTTATTTTCAAAAATTTAAAAGTATCTGATTGTCAATTACTACTTTGCAACAATCTACAGTGAGCTTTC